ATCGGAGGCACACGGGAGACTCAGATTTATATGTTATTTGTAGACAGTTCTCTGCGATGTTGTGCCTTAGTTCAAGCATCTGCCACACTGCCATGTTTAACAGGCATAGGATTCAAAAGAGGTAGAATTTACTGCCAGTCCTTCAGGAAGTGACAGACCCAGAGTTCCAGTTTTCTGGGCAGCAGGACCATGGAATCGAACAGAAGAGAAAACCTCAACACTTCTCAAAAGCTTCTTCTTTTTTTTTTTTTTTAATTTTCCAGTCATGGGGCCTGAACTCTGGGCCTGGGTGCTGTCCCTCAGCATTTCAGCTCAAGGCTAGCGTTCTACCACTGGAGCCAAGCACCACTTCCAGTTTTTTCTGGTTATGTGGTGCTGAGGAATCGAACCCAGGGCCTCATGCATGCAAGGCAAGCACTCTACCACTGAGCTACCTTCCCAGCCCTCTCAAAAGCTTCTTGAAAGGGGACAAGACAAAGACAAGCTGCTCCCTCTGAACTCTAGTTAGCCCAGGGGTCTGTAAGCAAATGAGATAAAGTAGAAGATAGCTCCCAAAGTTAGATTCCTAGTGCATACAAAAAGCTCTCTCCTCAAAAAAACCCAAGCGAACAAACAAAACCCTTCTCCATGTCAACAACAAATCTCAATTCAATCCATCACACTCATGTTACATGTTCTGTGATGTCCACCACCAATTTTATAATAGACGCACGTATGTTTAAGGCAGCCATGATATAGACATTGAAACGCGAAATTTCGAAAATGCGAAGCATGTCCAGCCTTGGGAGGGAAAGAACAGAGAGTTCAAAAATAAAAACAACTGGGCAGTACCTGAAAGAAGCATTAAGGTATTAAAATAAAATATTCCTGCTGCCCTTCTATAGGGAGATGCAGAGAACTTGTGCTGGCAGAGCTCATGAGAGTCCAGAGGAGAGAACAGAGGTTTAGATTTAGATTCCTCATCACCATGTTAGACATAAGGGAAAATGGCTTCTCCAAGTTCACCCTAGCACGGAGTATCTGCATGGTACTTTTGGCATGTTACTCATTCACTCAGATTTGGGCATGTCCACACACATGTTTTCTTCTTTATGCCTTTTTTTAAAAAGGATTTCTACAATGAGTCTATCTGACTTTCCTTTGTAGCCACGCTATATCATATAAACACATATACACGTATTTGTACAGATTCGAACTGTTCCGTATTTTAGGTTAAACATGAACGTAAAGTTTATGCACCATCAGATGTCTTTATGACTCAGGCTGGAACTTTATCTTTGAATTCCCTAGCATCTTAAATGTTTCAGCAATTTTCTCTTTTCCTTTCACTCAGGGAAAAGGTGGAACTCTGTTATGGTTAAGAAAGGGGCCAGTAAGATGCAAAGGAAATGGGGCCAAGTTGGAAGCATTTCATGAACATTCCATCTGAGCAATTCATAGCTTTCGTTTTGCTTAGCCTTTTAGATATGCAGTTGATATCAACAGTATATGAAAAGCTCCAGTCCAAAACAACTGATTAAAGATAGACAATATATGATAGGCCTAATATAAAAATACAAATACTATAAAAATAATTTAATGCTAAAATTCCAGAAACAGATGTAATTTAGATCACAGAACCAATGATGTGTGTTGTGCAATATTTTTTCTATATGCTGAGAGAGACCATTTGCTTTTAATTTAGTTAGGAAGTTTGATATAAAAGTGGAGTTAACACCAAAGGGCATTTTTTTCCCCTGTTGTTCCTTAATGAACAGATATGCTTTTATCGTGTCACTTGGAGGTGTAAAATCCTCACATGACATTAATCTTTTTAAAGATCACTTTAGTTTTCTATGGAAATTTTGGACCACACAGTCAGGTAAAACAGTCCAGAAAAAAAACCCACCATACTTCTAGTAACATGTTTGTATTTGTTTCACAGGCATGAGTGTATGTACAGGCTAAACAGAGACATTACCATAGACAGTGAGAGAGTAGAAGACAATTTCTCTGGTCAACCCATCTATCAGTGAGGTAGATTCCTCATCAACAGGAAGAGCTCTGCCATTGAATCACATTCAGCATGGAATGCCCACGGGCCAGGCAGTGTGTCCAGTATATCCCATGAGTCAGCCCTAGAAACCTTGTTATGGCATAATGAGGAAGGTACTGGCATTACTTTCTGCCACAGGTGAGTGACTGAGAGACGCAGAGATGGTATCTGCATATCTGTGACTGGTCGATGGAGGCTCCTGAGGCGGCCATTTTGGCATTTGCTAATCTCCAAATTAGAATGCAATATTCTTGACGGTTGGTCATTCAAATATATTTTCTCTGTCTTGACTTAGTGACTCCAAACAGAGTAAAAAAAAAAAAAAAAGAGTTGTGTGGTAAATTCTGAATACTTTAGAAAATTCCTCTACCACTCAACACTCCATGAGATCAAGTTTGCAGGACTCGGTGCACAGTGCATACCCAGCGTGCATGTTGAATCTAATGTCAGAAGGTGCTTTCTGCCAACAGAGACAGATTCTGAGCATCCTGGAGCACTCTCACTATAGGGAAGTGAGATGGTTTATGGGAAGAAACTGGAGAGGATACAAGAGCAGGGCAGAGCATAACTCTTGCTCAACAGAATATTTACTGAGCCCCTACCATGTGTTAAGTACCATTTCAGCTGCCAGAGATACAAGGTGAGCAGCTAGGAGGAGTCCTGGGCCACAGGAAGTGAACACATAAAGTAGGCGAGTTTACTGGCAATGGACAGCCAAACATTGAATGTGATGCTGTCGCTATGGAAGAAAATAACTCAGCCAAGATAAAGAGTATATTTTAGATTAGCTGGTCCAAGAAGGTCTGTGGGACAGGAGATGCTTGAGCAGGGAGGGGAGGAAGTGTTTCGGGGGAGTGATGGGAAGGAGCCAGGATGAGGGATGGCTGCAGTTCTCAGGAAGAGCTTTGGAGAGTGAGGAGGTAGCCAGTTCTAATGGGGAAAAAGATCTCACCCTTAATGACAAGAAAGTAGGCACAGACTCTTGAAGTTTAATTTTGTAATGAGCAATCTGAGTAGGATGGAGTGGAGTTCAGCCATGTTTCCCACAATTTCCAAAAGACTGTTCAGACTTTGAGTGGGCTTGATAGTCTCTCTGTCTGTCTGTCTGTCTGTCTGTCTTTCTGTCTGTCTGTCTCTCTCACATACACATATAAACAATCTTTAAGGTACAGTTTTCCACTCCCTCTACCTCCACAGTGAAAGATACTCCTAGATCACAATAAAAGCAGTTTATCCTGTTGAAGATCTTGTACAGCATATGGCATAATTTTTTTTTGTCAGTTATGGGGCTTGAACTCAGGGCCTGGGTGCTGCCCCTGGGCTGTTTTACTCAAAGCTAGCTCTCTACCACTTTGAGTCACAACCCCACTTCTAGTTTTTGAGTGGTTAATTGGAGGTGGTTAATTGGAGTGGTTAATTGCCTGGGCTGGATTCGCACTGTGATTCTCAGATGTCAGCCTCCTGAGTAGCTAGGATTACAGGTGTGAGCCACTGGCACCCAGGCTATGTCATGATTTTGAAACTTGTCTTTTCAATTAAAGCCATTTATAGACCAATGACAATAAATACAGAAAAGATAAAACACTACTGACTCAGAATCACATACTAACAATAGACTACTAAAAACAAAACAAAACAGATTGGTATCTCCTTTATCCCAAGACTACACTAACTCAAATATTGTTTCATTTCTAAAAGAGCCTGAGAGTCATATTACAAGACTTCGAGATACTTTGCTGATATGTCTCAAATGATATAAGATGGTCTTGATTTGAATCATTCTGATCAATACTTTTTGGAACAAGTTATCAAATTTTAGGTTCACGAGGGCCACTCTACCTGAAGCTGTAAATAACTGGTTTTCTGGTTCTCATCCAGTTGCACACATATTGAGGAACTGAATCTGATTAATTGTTTATTAGACTAGCCAATAGAAAAAAAGTTGAACTGCAAGTTGAATGTGGGTAGCAATGAGTTTTCCTGAAGGCGCCTTTAAATGTTTCCTTTAAAAGTATGAAAACGTGGATGGGTTTGCTGTATGTCGATTCCTCCCTGCTTCCCTCCTCTTCTCCAGGCCTGGATCACAGCGGGGCAGAGCCATCAAGGACGTGTGCCCACTCCCACCTCAACACCAAATCCAGCATGGTACCCACCGTCCAGTCGCAGTTGCTTCCATCGGGAAGAATGACAGCGGATACAAATCTGTTTCGTTTTGACTGACAGAAAAGGGGAGGATGGAAGAGCCTCCCCCGGGGTTTATTTATTTGCACGTATGTAGAAGGTTTAGACATCAAGGAAGCTTTGCTAGTACAAATGTTCCCTTTTAAGCAAATTCATGCTTATGGACTTTATAACACTGTGTTTGGCCTTACTATTTTCAATGTCAAGTTATTTAATTTTACAAAGGATGACTTTAGGAAAGGAAATCTTATCAGATAGCAATTTCCAAAGAAGCCCAGACACAAGGCAAAGGCTACTCTCTCTTTGCCCTGTGGTATAAGGGCTCAAGGGAAACCCACTGTCCAGCCTGGAGGGACCAGTGACCACAGGAAGAAAAAACTAGAGACTCCTGAATACCAAGTTTAAAGGTTACCCCAGACTATGCACCATTTCCCATTTGGTGAGATGGATAACTGACCAACAAAGCCAATCACTTGTTCAATGAGGTGTTGATCTGCAAGGAGGGGCTCATCTTAAATTGTGTAATTCCAGGTTTATAAGCCAGTTAAATACCTCCCAAAGTTTCTCCATCTGGGATTTCTACATAGGGTTTGCTGTAAGAAATATTCACAGCATATTCTTTGATGGTGTGCCACAAAATGACACAAGTAAAAGATGCTATGGATGCTCATTTAGAGCAAACATAGTCCCTGCTCTCAAGTAGCTTTCAGTAGGGCACAGGCACCTCTGAAGCAATCTAGGTACACTATAAACAGAGACAAGAACTCCAGGGGAGCTCCAATAGGTGCTCCCTTTAGCAGCACAGACTCTCAAAGTGGAAGGATTCCAAGAAGATTATCCTGGTCCTTGTGGAAGGATGACACACAGAGTTGGGAAACTTTCCATCAAAGAGTACAGAAGATATGAAAATGTGTAGCATAGTCCTGTTTTAATGGGGCTGCACGCTGGAGATGGCTTCTTTGATGAAGAACAATTGGAACTGAGATTTGAAGGTAAGTAGAGTGTGTGTGTGTGTGTGTGTGTGTGTGCGCACGCGTGTGTGCATATGTGTGTTGCCATCAGGTAAGAGGGCACAGGAGGGATGAAAACAGGAGAAAAAGGTTAGATGAGGCAAACATTAGTAGGCTACATAAAGGATTTTGCTTTTTCCTAAGAACAAAGGAAATCACTGAAGAGTTGTAAGAATGAAATGATCAGATTTCCTCTTTTAAAAAGGGCTATCTTGGGCTGGGAATGTGGCTTAGTGGTAGAGTGCTTGCCTAGAATGCATGGAACACTGGGTTCGATTCCTCAGTACCACATCAACAGAAAGTGGTAGAGTGGTAGGGTGGCAGAGTGCTAGCTTTGAGCAAAAGAAGCTCAAGGTCAGTGCCCAGGCCCTGAGTTCAATCCCCAGGACTGGCCACAAAAAAGGTGGTATCTTCTGCTGCAGAGAGGATTTAGGAGGGGGTCTGGGGAGACTATGGTGAGAACACTGGAAAAAATGACAGAGATTTGTCACAATAAGCACAGTAACAGCATGTGGTCAGACTGAGGACATATCTTGAAGATGGAGTAACAGGACTGGCAAAGGCCAGTGCACTTGGGGCTTTGGGGTATGAGAAAGAGAAAAGAGTCTCAGGTGGTTATGAGCTCTCAGGCACGGACAACTTTAAGGCTTAGAGACACTGACAAAGGACTATATAGTGGCTTGGAGCAGGTCTGGTGAAAGTGGAGGCATTCAGTTTGGGGGTACATTTAGCTCTTGGATGTCAACTGAGATAGGGATGTTGATGAGATTGTCTAAGAGAAAGTACAGAGGGACAGGAGAAGATGAGATTGGAGGACAGTGCCTCCAGGAATGTCAACAGGAGAGGAGAAAAACCCAGCCTAGGACGCCAAGGAGCAGTCAAGAGATGGGAAGAAAACCAGAGAGCAGGATGCTTCGGTAAGAAGACAGCTGCTGAGAAGTCAAGAAAGATGGGCTGGAACAGGCCTGTGCAGAGGCCATCTGTGGAGGCCATCCACGCTAATGATGACAGGTAGATGTGAGTGTGCTGAGGTGTGAATGGGAGGGAAAGAAAAAGATTCAGCAAGAGCAACTTCTTGGAGCAGTTTCGCTTAAAGGAAAGGACAAGGAGCAGGAAACTGAAGGGGATTTGGGATAAAGGGAGTCTATTTTGGTTTTACAGGTGGAAAATATTAAATCCATTCATCCATCCATCCATCCATTCATTCATTCATCCATCCATTTACCCACCCTCCCATCCATCCATCCATCCATCCATCCATCCATCCATCCATCCATCCAGCCAGCCAGCCAGCCAGCCAGCCAGCCAGCCATCCATCCAGCCAGCCAGCCATCCAGCCATCCCACCATCCATCCATCTACTCACCCTCCCATCCATCCATCCATCCATCCATCCATCCATCCATCCATCCATCCATCCAGCCAGCCAGCCATCCACCCACCCTCCCATCCATCCATCCATCCATCCAGCCATCCACCCACCCTCCCATCCATCCATCCATCCATCCATCCATCCATCCATCCATCCATCCATCCATCCATCCAGCCATCCACCCACCCTCCCATCCATCCATCCATCCATCCATCCATCCATCCATCCATCCATCCATCCATCCATGCATGTATGCATCCATCCATCCATCTACCCACCCTCCCATCCGTCCATCCATCCATCCACCCACCCTCCCATCCATCCATTCATCCATCTATCCATATCCATCCATCCATCCATCCAGCCAGCCAGCCAGCCAGCCAGCCAGCCAGCCAGTCAGCCAGCCAGCCATCCACCCACCCTCCCATCCATCCATCCATCCATCCATCCATCCATCCATCCATCCATCCATCCATCCATCCATCTACCTACCCTCCCATCCATCCATCCATCCATCCATCCATCCATGCATGTATGCATTCATCCATCCATCTACCCACCCTCCCATCTGTCCGTCCATCCATCCATCCATCCATCCACCCATCCATCCATCCATCCATCCACCCACTCTCCTATCCATCTATTCATCCATCCATCCATATCCATCCATCCATCCATCCATCCATCCATCCATCCAGCCATCCAGCCAGCCAGCCATCCACCCACCCTCCCATCCATCCATCCATCCATCCATCCATCCAGTCAGCCAGCCAGCCAGCCAGCCACCCACCCATCCATCCATCCATCCATCCATCCATCTACCCACCCACCTAATCACCCATCCATCCATCCATCCATCCATCCATCCATCCATCCATCCATCCATCCATCCATCCATCCATATGGTGCTCGTATGGGGATTTGAACTCTCTAGGCCTCTCACTCTCACTCAGCTTTTTCTCTCAATGTTGGCACTCTACCATGTGAGCCACTGCGTCACTTCTGGCTTTTTGGCAGTTAATTGGAAATAAAGATCACAGATGTTCCTGCCTGGGTTGGCTTTACACCTCAATCCTCAGATCTCGGCTTCCCGAATAGCTAGGATTACCAGAGTGAACTATCTGCACCCTGACTTTGTACTAGTAAGCAGGTCCCAGTGAAGAGGGAGAGGTTGAAGGTGGAGTGAAACTAAGAGAGCCAGTGGGGTTCCTGAGACAGCACTGGAATTGGGGGGGGGACAGTTGGCAACGCCAGCTCTAGACAGGAGGAGGAGCACTCCAACTGTGAATGAAGGAGCGGTGCTGATCGAGGCAGCTTGGCGTGTAAGCATGGCAGTAAACAAAGAAGGTGGAATTCTGCTCAACTTATGTTTGTAGAAACTGTGAAAATGTATGCTGGGTGCTCCCTGGGTCCTCTGTGTTGCATATAATCAAAGATAGATTTCTACTTTGTGCAGAGGAAAAATCCCAGGACACAGGTGTGATTTTGCGGTGAGTTTTATTCAGTTTGCATGCTGACCCTTGATCTTGACTTCAGTATTGGGTCAAAATACCAGTCACTCCAAACTCTAAATTTTAGTCATACTTTATCTCATCATATGAAGCAGTGAACACTTCTTGCCCCCCCTCCCCCAATTTTCCATGATGATCTGTTTCAAAGCTTGGGGTTTTTAGTGGTCTCTGTTCTTTAGTCCTGTGGGTTTTTCCAGCCACCACATAACAAGGTTTCTCAGATTTGTCTTTCTCCCATCCTCACTGTCCCCTCTCAAGCCTCTTCTCAGCATCACTCCAAATCTGATGGCAGCGTCTTCCTTGTGTCTCACTCCAGCTAATTCTTCCTGTTTCTATGCAAGCAGGAGTCCCAGAAAATTACCGTTTCCTGAGTCTTCAATCACCCTACTACAATGGAAGCTCCTATTTTCCTTTTCTTTGAGTTTTCTATTTGCTCTCTCATACACTCTGATTTTTTTCTTCTTCTGTGGTTGTGGGGTTTGAATTTTGGGCCTGGGTGCTGTACCTGAGCTCTTCAGCTCAAGGTGAGTGCTCTACCGCTTGAGCCACAGCACCACTTCTGGTTTCCTGGTAGTTTATTGGAGATAAGAGTCTCACAGACTTTCCTTGTCTAGGCTGGCTTTGAATCGTGATCCTCAGATCTCAGCCTCCTGAGTAGCTAGGATTACAGGTGTGAGTCACTGGTGCCTGGCTTGCTCTGAATTTTTGTTAGGTATCTCTCTTTTTTTTTTCCCCACAAGCATGCAAGTTCCACAAGGGCAAGAGTTTTGTTTTACTCATTCTTGTATCTAGATACATTTCCTGTATCTAGAACAGGGCTTAGAGCACAATCAACTATGAATGGACTCCAAAATTCCCACACCTAGTCACCACTAAGCAGAGTACGAGCTCCTCTAGGTTTGACATTCACAACCCAATGTGAGGTTACTATCTATCTATCTATCCATCTATTTATCTATGTATCTATCTATCCATCCATCTATTTATCTATGTATCTATCTATCCATCCATCTATTTATCTATCTATCCATCCATCTATTTATCTATGTATCTATCCATCCATCTATGTATCCATCCATCCATCCATCTATCTATCTATCTATCTATCTATCTATCTATCTATCTATCTATCTATCTATCTATCTATCTATCTATCTATCTATCTATCTATCTATCCATCCATTCATTTATCCATGTATCTATCTATCTATCCATCCATCCATTTATTCATGTATCTATCTATCCATCCGTCCATCCCTATTCTGCATCTCCTCCATGGCTATCTCAGGTTCCTGCCAGGCCAGACTCAATCCAGATCCTCATTAGTTGGTGCTTGCTATATGCACGCTCTTACACATACAGCTTCAGGCCTTGTTCCCTTCCCACACATCTCATCTTCTGTCTCAGCACCCTTAGTAGAATGGCACCCTCTTGTTCTTGGTAGTCATTAAGCCTTATTCAGTTTGCTCCATGGTTTCTTCCACCTCTGAAATCCTACATGCTTTTATTGGGGGGGGGGTCAGTTGTGGGGCTTGAATGCAGGGCCTACGTGCTGTCCCTGAGCTCCTTTTGCTCAAGGCTAGCACTCTATCACTTTGAGCCACAGTGCCACTTGTGGATTTTGGGTTGTTAATTGGAGATAAGAGTCTCACGGGGACTTTTCTGCCTGGGTTGGCTTTGAACCAAGATTCTCAGATCTCAGCTTACTGAGTAGCTGGGATCACAGGCATGAGCCACCAGCACCCAGCCCTACATGCTTCTTTAAAAATCATAGATAATGAGTAAGTAATGATTAAACCACATGCAATTAAATGATGTTAAAGTTTAGAGATACAGAGTGATATCGTAACTCTAGTGCAGAGATGAGGATCAACTCTCACTTTATATACACAAGGAAACTTAAGTCTAGAGAGTCACTAAAAAGCTAGTAAGTGTAGATTTAGAACTAGAAGTTGAAAAATTGTGTATCCATTTATTCTTTCCACTGATATATTCTCTTACTTATAGTTTCATTTATTTGTTTTGTTGGTACTGGGGTCTCTGTATGTGTGAGATACCTTCTAACTGTAATCCCTTGAAACTACTTTTTGTATTTTCATACTAAAAAACCTTCAAAGCACCTATTAAATGATCAGTATTAGTAGGTACTCAATAAATTTAGACCGAAGGACTAATTGATTTGCATAAAGATTTCTTTTTTTTTTTTTTTTTCTGTTAGAAAGGAACCAGACATTTAGAGGTATCCAAACATTATGGAGCCCAAGAGATCCAGTTCAATTTCATTTCAGAAGTAAAATATTGCTATGCCAAAAATATTCCACTGAGTTAGATTTGGGCCAGGATCTAATGCTTCTAGCCTAGCCAAAGATCTACAGGCTTGATATTTTACCAGAAGAACAAAGCCGTGTGTTTAGAGAATCAATCACAATCAAATCTTCACCCAAGAAGTTCTGTGTAAACATAAACTTGGCTATACGGCCTCCATCCAGCTGTCTCTTTTCAAATTTACCCAGCCAAAAAAAAAAAGATATAAACTAAAAATATCACAATAACTGGAGGATGACAGTTGAAATCCTCTTCAATTAAAGCATCCAAGTCAATGCAACAAATATTTACATTAACAACTAGAATGTTGGGAAACAGTTCAAAAATTTGAGAGGACTGGATATTAATAGACAACTACAAACTGCCCAGTGATGCTACATGAAATTCCTCACGTATTATGAAAAAACCTGTTCTCTCTCTCTCTCTGTCTCTCTCTCTCTGTCTCTCTCTCATATACTAGGACTTGACCTCGGTGCCCCCAACTCAAGGCTGGAGCTCTATACTTACAACTTTTTGCTGGTTTATTGGAGATAAGTGTCTCACAGACTTTCCTGCCCAAGCTGGCTTTGAACTGCAATCCTCAGCTCTCAGCAGGGATTACAGGTATGAGCCACTGGTGCCTGGCTGAAGTATCTTCTTTCTGATGCCCTTATGCCCTGCTCACCATGAGACTAGGAGCCAGCAGGACAGAGCAATGGATGAGTGCCAGGGATCCCTGGATGCTCTATCCTGTGCTGCTGCAGGACTTGTCTTCTCTCCAATACCTCTATCCCCTCCTGCACTGCACCTGCGCCAGGAGATCCTGATGCTGCATTGGCTGGGGGGTGGATACGGCTGCTTCCTATTTCTGAGGGTGCAGGGACTCACAGGACAAAGTACAGAGCAATGGTATTGAATAACAGTGCCCCATGTCAAGCAAATTTTTAGTTAACTATCCTGCTTTAGGATGATAAAAGAGACTCTTTGATAGATTAAAACTTAGATTGTGCTAACATGTAACTTAGCTAATTATAACAAAACAAATGGCAATAACAAATCCATAGAACCAAACACTTCCCTGAATAACTCCTACTACAAGTATGGATGGGCACCAAGGTCGCTGTCTTGTGAAACTCCATATTGCTCTGGCAGGGGAAATGTGCCTGCTGCTTGATGACAGATCAGGAAAGGGGGAAGGTTCTGCAGTGCCAGTACTGGGCTTCAACTCAGAGCCCTGGTACTGTCTCTTAGCTTTTTTTGCTCAAGGCTGATGTTCTACCACTTAAGCCACACCCCCACTTCCAACTTTTTGGTGGGTGATTGGAGACAAGAATCTCCTGGATTTTCCTGCCTGGACTGGCTTCAAACCATGATCCTCACATCTCAGCCTCTAGACTAGCTAGGATTACAGGCTTTCTGTGGTTGTTCTTTTAGCTCTGTGAGTTCTCATTTCTAGAGTTGTTGGTAAGAAGTTGTTTTATGTTAGATCCTTGGCTTTCAGCACTATTTTCATGTCTGGTGAACTTGGACTCTCTTTTCTCTATATATATTTTAAGGTTCTAAAATTTTCTATACTAGGACTATATTTTTTAGTGCTTGATACCTCATCTTGATGTCTTATGGCTTATTTTTTTCTTTAGTACTAGAACATTCTCACACATCATTTCTTCAACTATTGGCCATCTTTGTTTTCTTCTCTATAAATTTCTATTTATTAGACATGGGTAAATTTAGAATGATTATTTAGAGCCTTTTTTTTTAAGCACTTTTCTTTCCTCGGCAGCATTTTGTACTCTGGAAGAACCATTTAGTCCTGATCTTCCTAGCTCACTAATTTTGCCACTTTTTTTTTTTTTTCCCTCTACTATCAAACTATTACATTCACAATGACAACGATACTCTTTTTGCCCTATTTCTGAGATCTTTTGACTCTGTATCAGAGAAATCAAGCCCAGTTGTTGTTTCCTAGGTGTAAGCCCATATTTTATTGTCCTACACATATTATTTTCTTGCTAAGGCTTGGTTCTGGGCGCCTGCACGTTGGGGGTTTCTCTTGCTCTTGTCCTTTTGATGTTGGAAGCCTCTATCTATCTATCTATCTATCTATCGATCTATCTATCTATTGATCTATCGATCTATCGCCATTCCTGGCTGTGAGCTCATCTTTTCCAGACTCCCTGGTGTCTTGGACAGCTGGTTTCGGATGAGAGGCTAAAGCAGCTCTTGCTGCTCATGGTCCTCGCGCTTTCCCATGGGGAGAGGGGCGTGCAGGGCTGAAGGCAGCAGCTGCTTGGCAGAACCTTTCTTGGTCCTTCTCCATCACTGGCCTGGAGCCTTCCCCGTGTCTCCATTCTCAACACCTGGGAGGAGGAGGGCAGTGGCTCACGCCATGGCACTGCTGGCAATGCCTGATGGGTGTTCCCGGCCCTCGGGGCTCCAGGGTTCCTCCACTTCCAGGCGTGAAGGCTAAACGTTACTATGCGGAACCCTTGTCCGCGGCAATCCTTTTCTCTGCTCATCCGAGCCCCCAACTTTCACTGTCTCAAGACTTCCTAGAAGCTTCTAATCCCTTTTGTAAGTCTACTTCCTCCGTTTAGGTATGGCTGTGGATCCATGCGCTTCTTTACTTTCTTTACACTTATAATTCTCTAGACTTGATGCAGCACAAATGTACTTGGTGTCCTATCAAAAATCATCACACGGGAACTCTTACCCATAAACCGAGCCCCTTAAGCCACCAAGAGAATAACACAGGAATTAGAGAAAACACGGGTATTTTCTGTATTTAAGATGCTGTTTTGATATGATGATGCGCTGAAATCCAGTTTCTACCCCTTTCCTATTTGATCCTGCATCCCAGCAAACTATGCATTCCCTAGCTGCTTTATCAGCTGACTTGGGGGTAAGCTCAGTGGTGGAAGACTGGAATGGGGAATGGAGAGAAGTCAAGGGCAGTGTCCTAGACGAATGTCTCCAAGACTACGCCTGCCCAGCAGCTCCTGCTTCCTGCCAACTGTCCCCCCTCCCCCACGGTCCTGAAGCGGACATGGAACTTCCACTGTCATTCATCTCTAGAGCTCTGCCTCACTGCCTGTTGAGCATCTCAGAAACGCCATCCTCTAGGCCCCTGGTGTCCTCTGAATAGTTTCCTTCTGCTGAAAGACCTAGAGTTGTTTTCTTTTCCTGGATGGATCCTGACTTGAAGATCAGAATTTCAAAGAGATGGTTTTCAAAGATAATAATAGGTAAATCCTTTCTATGAGGGGAAAGGACCCCCCCCCCCCCCACCAGGGAAAGCCACCCTCAGCTCTGTGCTCTGAATACTGAGGATATCCCAAGCGATTTCAGAGGACGATATACAGCCCTTAAAAAGGTAACTTTGGCAATATCATTTCACCTCGGTTGCAAATATGGCACAAAGCAGTTTTGTACAGGAAGCCTTAGGGACCCATCATGTTAGTAATGCTCTAGAGTTAGGAAACACTACGCTGGAGGAAGGAAAGCTTTGAGCCTGACGGGAACTTCGACAAAGGCATTTTCAAGTTTTAGACATCCCTGGCAGGCAGAGGTACAGTAAGTAGCATAAAGAGAACGATTATCTCTCTTATTGATTATTTTCCCTGGTGAAGGAAGAGTTAGGCGAAATAGCTTTGCTTCTTTAGGAAAACTTAGGGTAGTTCTCTCCCCCCCCTCTTTTTAACCTTGGGTAATTCTATTTCATACTCAAAAATAAAGGATGCCACTGCCTTCTAAACCTAATCCAGTATGTCCACTGTACAAGCCTTGACAGCCGGGCAGCACAGAAACAACAAGGGAGGCGAGCACCATGGCTTGTTATTAGAGGGAGAAGCGGAGCCCCACTGTGCCGCCGTCAGGCTGAAAATCTAAACGTGGAGAGGTGCAGTCCTGGTCCTGAATACCGAATTCTACTCCCCCTTTGTGTGTTTGGACTCTAACACGGGGGGCTATCTATGTATTAAAGGAGAGAGCTTGAGTATGGGATACATTTGTGCTTGCAGCAAGATGAAGTTTAATACCAAGGATGCATCTCAACTTCCTGTCCGATCCGAGACGTCCAGCTGCGGTGTTTGGGTGTGCGTGAAGGATAACGCTGCATGGTGATTACGCGGCCCCCCCCCCCCCCCCCCCGGTCTGCTGCGGCTGGCATGAGAAAGATAACACCACTCACCCCCCTCTCTGTGCTTTCCGAGGTGGCCCAGACACCGCCAGCTCTGCCTGGAAAGCCACCCCTCCCCACTGGCGCCCGAAGGTAATTTCAGACCATCCTCGGAGACTGCTTTGAGGTGAATTCATTACATCAAAGCCAACAGAGAGAAACTTAATACAAACTTGCACGGTGAAAGAAAAGAGAAGGGGATGGAGCAGGCAAGCTTACTGAAGGAGCTCCGCTTCTGTGAGTGCCTCTGTCCTCGGCTCCCCGGTGACCATGGCCAGCTCATCCTTCAGTTCCTGGATTTCCTTCTGGAGGCCAAGGATCATCTGCAAACCGCAAGGCGGGAGGGGAAATGGCAACTTGTCAAGGCGAGCTTGGTGGCAGAGAGTGTGCATCTTTTAATGTGACTAACTAGCCCACCCAGAAATCCCAGCGACTCGGGAGGCTGAGATCTGAGATGGCGGTTCAAAGGCAGCCAGGCCAGGAAAGTCTCTGTGAGGCTCCTATCTCCAATTAACCATTTAACAACCGGAAGTGGCATTGTGGCTCAAGTGGTAGAGTGTTAGCCTTGAGCACACAGAGGATCAAGGACAGTGCCTAGGTCCTGAGTTCAAGCCCCACAACTGACCAAAAAAAAGAAAAAGATGATCTGTTTTAAGGATACCAAAATGGAAAATGATATAAAAGGTATTCCTGTCCCTACCATCCAGCTTTGTTCAATGGTACTACTTTATTAAATTAGGTCTAGAATTATTTTTTTTTTAAAACAAAACAGAACATTACTGATATAACTGGAGCCCTCCCCTTTTTATTCCTCTTCCATCCTTTCTGGGGAGATCACTCATCACCATGCCTTTTGGGGGAATCAAGACATGGCCTGTGTGTTTTCGTGCATTTACCCCGAATGGATGGGTGCATGGTAATGAACACACGCTGCCATTCTTCATACCCTAAACCCCGTGAATGCATCACGGCATGTAATTGCATCTTGCTTTGTTTTGTTTTTAAGCTTATTTTTATTGGCCCCTGTGACTCTGGCTCATTAAATTTCATGAACATATAATATTTCAATAAGAGAACCTAGCACAATGTGTTTACCTATGTGTCTTGTGAGTGGATATTAGGATTGCAAAAATATCTTAAGTTTTTTTTCTTTGCATCAGGGAGTGGCCATTTCCGGAAGCAGTTTCTGAATACAATGTCACCCCCCCCCTTCAACATTCTCCCCCATCACACCCAACCCTCCCCTGCCCTCACCCTTCCTGCTTTCCCAGGATGTACTCTGGATTCGTGACTGCATTCTCCCGGGCTTTTTCCCCTCATTTGTCCACCACTCTCCCCTTGACCCCCCCATCTCACCCCTTTCAAGGACCCACTTCCTGGCATTTATTTCACTGAGCTTTGACTTTGCCTTTCTGAGGAATTACGCTACGTGAGTTCTCCCTTGGATCTACTGTATTTCAGTTAATACATTTGTATACACTTGCATACCATCCAACGTATTTACTTGTAGGTTTATAAACTAATTCTAGCTTCCACATATGAGAGAAAACAGGCAACCGTTGTCCTTCTGGGTCTGACTGACTTCACTGAACATAATGCTTTTCAGGTCCTTCCCTTTCTTTGCAAATGATATATAGTATCATTCTAATGGGTGAGCAAAATTCCATTGTGTGTCTGCACTAATCAGATCACACACCTGTATATACTATATATCGTAGTAATTATATCATCACAATACAAACTTCCTAAAACAAAAATTAGTAAGTTGCAGTTTTCACTCTTCCTTGAATGCTTGCTATTTCTTAAAAGTAAATAAACGAAAAATCAGCTCCCTTCCTCCTTCCTTCCCTCCCTCCCTTGTTCCCATCCTATTTCTTCTTTCCTTTCTTTGTTCACTTCACTTCTACGATTCTTTGCTTGGAGAATTACCAGATTAAAGGGTGTGTGTGTGTGTGTGTGTGTGTATGTGTGTGTGTGTATGTGTGTGTGTGTGCATGTGTGTGTGTAAAACTGAATTTCCAACCTAGGTGAAGTTGAGAGTAGAGATTTAATTTTTCATCAAAACCATTATGATTTTTTTTCTGTCTATAGAGAAAGCTGAGGCAGATAAGCTGACACAACATTGCCCTGTGTTAGAGGACAGAACTGTTTTCTGGTTGGACCCTTCAGCGGTTTTATAGGGCTGGGGGAGGTATCTTAGGTTCAATACCCACCTGGCAAAGACCCAGGAGTTTGACCTCTATCAACCCACCCCCTTCCCCATTCAAGGGCAAATGCAGCCTCAGGTTTGATTCTGGGCTCCAGAGAACTTCTCTACTTTCTGTCAACCTCAGCTGTGCACTTCAAAGATGTTTTTAATGCAGACAGGTGGTTTCAGTCTCTCTGGGGTGCACACACAGGACCAGAAGTCCAAGAAACATGGTACTGAGTATTTCGAACATGCCAGTGGTCTTAGAATTTCATTTAAACACCCAGGGTGATGTTACTTTTTGTTTCCCCAAAACAAGGGTCAGAATCTTCAGGCAACCTAGAAGGAAACTCTTCAGAGACCTGTGCGAGTCATGCATTCGCACCTTCCTCTACTAAATTAATAATGATCCCGTGTTTTCCGACTTCTGCTAAGGCTTCAAAGTCAACTCAGATATTACATTCTGTCTTATTGAGTAGCCATCTCAAATCGAAGCCAGATTTCCAGGGTTTGAAATGGCCCCAACTGCACTTCCTGTCAGACTGCTGCAGAAACTCTAGAAACTCTCCCGGCTCTGCCTTGATTCATTCTCCTTTAGTTACCTTGTCTCTCTGATGTACCAAGACTTGTAAAGAAAGCAGATTGGGTCCCTGGTGATCCTGATCACACAGGACCATGTCCACATTTGCTGTTAAAGTCAAGAGTAAAGGGCTGGAGGCCTGGCTCAAGCAGTATAGAGCCTGCCTAGCAAGTGCGAAGGCCTGAGTTCAAACCCCAGTACTACAAGTAAGACACAGGAAATGAAACCCATGTTCATCTTGGGTGTTTTTTTTTTAAGTCACTTGTGCTTCAAACAGATATATCCATAAAATAATAAAAATAAACATGAGATTTAGACATAGATCAAGAAACAACACTTGTCAATTATCAGATTCGTCTGCACTAGGAAGACCTCAGTAATTCGTTCAATTATCAGCTAGTAGCTTTTCACTCTGGATCTTTCTTTTCTTTAAAGCTCTCACAGATGATCTACATCAAATGTTTGACAGTGTTCACCTTATTATCATTTATTTTCCAAATTCTGAAGTTGCTTCAAAGAAAAACCTCTCTAATCAAATTTTAAGTTAAAAAAAGAGAAACCCTTCAACGTCTAGGAAGTTTACTTTCCATAAATTACAAACTAATTTTCATCTCCAGCTTAAAAATACCCTTCCTTTCTATCCTTCTCTTGCTAACCAGCAGTACCACAGAGCTGCCAAGCAAGACTTCAGGTGTAAACTCAGAAAAAGCCACCTCAGGAATGTGGCTGCACTTGGCTCAAGTCTCTGATTTCTTCCTCCTTTTCAGGATTCTCCCTAGCTCTGCCCTAATTTTTTTTCTTTTTTCTTTTTGTGAACACACTGTACAGAGGGGTTACAATTACATGGGCAGGTTAATGCGTACATTTCTTACCAAGCATTGCAGCCTCCTCCTTTGTTTACCCTTCACATCCCTTCCCAGCCTCCCCCCCACCCCTCTGCCCTAATTTTTTGGAGGCTTAAACTGAAATAAAAAAAATTTGTAGAATACATTATGTATTTATTAGCCATTATTACAGGCTTTTATTTTTAAAATTAAAAAAATCTTTTCTATCAACCAGGTTGGTTTTAAGCTCATAATTTTTCTACATCTTTTTAGTGCTACTGTTACAGGTATGTGCCACTATGCCCAGCTCTATGTACATTTTTATCCGAAATGGTGTGTTTCTGTGTTTAGAAGGGCATATACAGCTGGGTGCCGGTGGCTCATGCCTGTAATCCTAGCTACCGAGAAGGCTAAGATCTGAGGTTTGTGGTTCGAAGACAGCCCATGCAGGAAAGTCTCTGTGAGACTCTTGTCTCCAATTAACCACTCAAAGACAGGAAGTGACACTATGGCTCAAGTGGTAGAGCGTTAGCCTTGAGCAAAAAGAGCTCGGGGACAGCACTGAGTCCCTGAGTTCAAGCCCCATAACTGGCAATTAAAAAAAAGAGAAAGGTATATACATGTAATCTCATTTTGTTGTGGTTGTTGTGTTTTGTATAGTGCTGGGGATTGAACTCAGATACCTGTGTGTATGAGGCAAGCACTCTACCCTTCAGCCCCATTCCAAGGTCTAAAGATTTGCAGATGATCCTGTTGGATGAGTCCTTGGGCTCACTGCAGGTCACTGCAGGGCTCACTGCGCAGTGCGGGACTGGGGGAGAGAGTGCAGATTCTTGGGCTAGACTGGGGTTGGATCCTGACTGTGTAACCTCCTAGCCTGTGATTCTGAGCAAATGATTTAAAATTGTGGAGCCCCCATGTTTAAATATTAATCTGTGGACGTAAGAGGAGAATCTAGTTATAAGATTGTTTTGAGAATTGAATCAGTTAAGGCACTTAACTGCATTTAGAACACAGCCTAGTACAAAGTAAGCACACCCTCAAAGTTTTAGCTCATCTTCAACATACTTTTAAATATATAAATAGATAACATATATTATATAAATATATATAACATATACTATATATGTTAATATATAAGTGTATGTATGTATATACATATATATATATAGTGAGTTAAAAGTTGCTTACCAATCTGGGGTCAATTTCTTCATTAAGAACAGCTTCGTTCTTTATGAGTGCTACCCTTTGTGCAAATCGGCAAGTAGAGATGGACTCCTAAAAGACAAAAGAACATCTTAAAATATTATGGCGTAAGAATATTTCTCTCTAGATAAAACTTAATTTTTATTCTTAGAGGGAAAAGAAGACACAGGCCTAAAGGGTGGTACATTAAAAAAAAAAGACAATGAAGAGTCCTGGCTCTAAATTAAGGAGCTTTGCTTTAGGACATTATTTGATACAAAAATTAGGTTTGGCTTAATAAAATGACTGATGCCAAAATTATAGGAGACCCTGAGGTCTTAGATAGCAGCTGGGTCTATATTTTCAACTATAGCTCTCTCCTTCCCCCTCCCTCCCTCCCTCCCTCCCTCCTTCTTCCCTCTCCCTCTCTCCCTCTCTCTCTCCCTCCCTCCCTTCCTCCCTCTCTCTCTCTCTCTTCTCCCTCTCTCTCCCCCCCCCCCCCCCCAGGTGCTGGGGCTGGAACTCTGAGCTTGGGTTTTCTCCCTGAGCTCCTTTTGCTCAAGGCTAGTGCTCTACTACTTGAGCCACAATGACACTTCTGGCCTTCTCTGTGATTAATTGGACATAAGAGTCTCATGGACTTTCCTGCCTGGGCTGGCTTTGAGCTGTGATCCTCAGATATCAGCCTCCTGAGTAGCTAACTAGGATTACAGGTGTTTGAGCCAATGGCTCCCAGCTTTTTTTTCTTTCTGCCTGTCCTGGAACATGAAACCTGGGCATTGTGCCTGAGCTTTTGTGCTCAAGGCTAGTGCTTTATCCCTTGAGGCACGGATCTACTTCCTATAGCTCTCTTAAACCAAATATATATAGAGAGATTTATTGACCTGTTGGTCATTCTGTCCTTCTGTCTGTCTGTCCATTCATCTACGTGTGTGTGTGTTTGTTTGTTATAATCACATTATATACCACAACCCACAAACATGAAAGACTACAAAATGGATCTCTGTATGGATCAAAGGTCCTCACCATCAAATGCTGGGGCCTTTATCTGGGGGCAGGGGCACAGAAGGGGGACAGGGCACGCTGTTGCTTTCTGCTGTCCTCTTCTGGAAAGTGTCTGGATTACCCATTAAACTGAAATGCGCATGCGCCATAAGCTGGCTCTAAAATGTCACAGAAAAGCCAGCCAGCGGCAGCCCCTGCCCAGGTCCCGCCCTCTACCCGTCCAGCAACCAGTCTCCAGGTATCATCAAGGCATTCTGGAGCAACACTGAGCAAGACGAGTGGATAGGTTGCTTCTTATTTACATGGCTGAGAAAGAACCAATTGGCAGGCCCACCGCAGAATCGCAGGAGGCTTCTTCTAATCATAGGAAGTCAGTTCTCATGGGCTGAGGGTAGGCGATTGCAATAGTGGCTAGCAGCCGAAGCTGCGGACTCTGTGGTGTGTGTGCCTCTGAAGAGGGAAAAGATGCAAACTTCCCGAGCAGCCCCCCAACTCCAGCTCGCAAACTAAGAATAGACACCCCTGGCCGACTAAGATCTCCAGAAAGAAGGACCAACGTACATCGATGTTCCTTTTCTCCAGGGACAGCGTGGCGATCATGGTGGTCATGCAGTTCCCCCCCAGGCTGTCCCGCAGCACGCTGGTCATCATGGAGTTCCGGTAAGGGATGTGTGAGCGGTGTTTCTCTGAAAGGGCGATGATGACCTGTGCAAAGCAGGAAAACCATGGCGTCACCTTGGCAGAAGGGGCAACAGCAACCAAACACAGAGGCAGAGTAACGAGGTGCCGCTGACATGCACAGCTCAGGCACAGAATAAACACTGCGGCAAGAATCTTCAGCCTGAAAATGGTGAAGATGGCGCCAAGTAAGCGAAGTGTCACCGGAACATCGCAAAGCTGGCGATTGTTGGACATGTAACGTAACTTGTGTAGAATTGGACAGACGATTGTTCAGTTCGTAGCCACTGGAAAATTGGTCTAAAAGGCTCAGTGACCATGCCTGATTACTTTAATCCTACCAGAGTGGAGCTGCAGGCTCCGTCTCCAAGACGTAAGAGGCAGATCGGGGAAGCGGAGCCTTGGGAGGCCGTCTCGAATGAGGCTGAGATCCCAGACTCTGATGGAAGATTGTCCACATCAAAGTACTTGCGGGGGGAAATGTACCTCAACACCTCACCCCCATCTCCTCATATGTAAAACTGGGCTCAAAACAGTTCCTACCTCTGAGGAAGTTGAGATGATTAAGAGCTAAAAAATGCACAGTGCTAAGAGTATGACTAGCCTCTGAGCACTGTCTACGTGTTTGCTGACATTGGAAGGGGCTGAGGAACTTGTCTTGGCTTATCTAGGGCTTGCTCATCCCAAGTTTCTGAAGTAGATCCTAGGAAGGTTCTAGGTGGATGGATGGATGGATAGGTGTTATTGACAAAACTTGCTGGGACCAAAGTGACAGTGGTCTACACCTGTAATCATTGCTACTCAGGAGGCTGAGATCTGTGGCTCATGGTTTGAAGCTAGCCTGGGAAGAACAAACTCCAAAGGACTCTTATCTCCAATTAACCAGCAAAAAGCCAGAAGTGGAAGTATGGCTCAAGGGGTAGGGCACCAACCTTGAGCAAAAAACCCAAGAGACCATGAGGCACTAGGTTTAAGTCCCAGTTTCAGCAAGCACACACACACACACACACACACACACACACACACACACGTTCTAGTGTCTGCTGTCCATTGCAAAGTGGTTGGCATGAGTCACCATGGAATGTGACCTCAGTCCATCCCAAGATTCTGGCTCCTAAACACACCTCGCACACCTGCCACTGCTCTCCCGCTGTCCAGCTGTGGAGCTGGCTGAACACAGCCTTCCCGACTCATTTAGCTTACAAAACAAGATGGGAGAATGGTTCTGTGAAGACAGTTTTGAACAAAACATAGAACTACAGCACCAGTCTCACTTTACACAATACACAAATGACTAGAGATAATTCTACACACAATCCTGTGCTCTCTTACTCAATGATCACCTCTTTTTTCCTTGCTTCCTTCCTTGCTTCCTTCCTTCCTTCCCTCCCTTCCTCCCTTTCCCCCTCCTCCTCCACCTCTTCCCTTCCTCCTCCACCTCCTCCTTCTCTGTGTGCGTGTGTATGTGCGGGCACGCCAGTCTTGTGCACTCTCTCTGAGCTTATTTTGTTCAAGCTTCTTGTTAGTGCTTCCCACTCGAGCCACGGCTCTACTTTTGGTGTTTTTTGGGGGGGGGGGGAGAAAAGGATATTTTATTGGAGATAAGAATCTCACAGACTTTTCTGCCCACGCTGGCTTCGAGCTCTGATCCTTAGGTCTCAGCCTCCTGAGTAACTAGGATTACAGGGGTGAGCCTGTGTCTGGCTCACAATCTCACTGGCAACCATCACTTTTATAGCCTGAAAGATGAGGCTTTTATATCTACCCCTCTCTAGGCATAGAGAGGGATAGTCCCCCCCAGCTGCAGTCTGAGCTGACAGAGCTCCCTCAACCTCTGCATGCTCCTAAGGCCAGGCTCCATCCTCCCCTTCTGTTCCTATTGGCTTTGGCCCTCATGGTGTATCAAACCCCCACGCCACTATTAAAAGAGGACTCCTGCGGAGGCCCCTCTTGTTTTTGTTCCTAAAGCATTGGCTTCCAGCTCACTCGGCTGCTGAGTGGAGTGTGCATCCCACAAACGCACTCATGCTCTCCTTGTCTTCCCCTTTCTTCAAACACGACCTCATGAATGCTTCCTTCCTCCCAAGGCCACAGCTGTGGCAGAGCTTGCTCCTGTTTTGGTCACCATTTCTTTCTACTTATGCTCTTTACCCATGCAACTTCATCCTATCTCCTGGCTTTTTGGGGGGGAGGGGGGGAGGTCTGTTATGGGGCTTGAACTCAAGGCCTGGGCACTGTCCTTGAGGTCCTTCATTCAAGGCTAGGGCTTTATCACTTCAAGCCACAGGTCTACTTCAAGTATTCTGGTGGTTATCTGGAGATAAGAGTCTCACAGATTTTCCTGCCCCTGGCTTTGAACCCTGATCCTCAAATCTCAGCCTCCTGAGAAGCTAGGATGACAGGTATGAGGCACCCAACTGGCTTTCTATCTTGATGTCTCCCCAATATATATCCTGGATCTCAATCTCCTCAGCATCGCTATGTCTTCCATCCAGATTTCTATCCTTGCGTTTCTCTCCGCTCTTTTCCCATGACAGGTACTTTCCCAGGTCTTCCCTACCATTACTAATGGCAGCACCATGCTCCTAGTTAATCGGGCTAAACCCCAGCCATTAACCTTGATTTGCCCCCATCCAGTTCACCAGCAACGCTGCTAATTGAACTCACACACTGTACCCAGAACGGGCCTCTCTCACCATTGCTCTAGTCCACGCGTACACGATTCCTTCCTAGAACAACTGCGTGAGGCTTTGAGTCAGTCTCTCTGCTTCTACTTCTGCCCATCCATGGACTCTTCTCCATATAGCAGCCAGCGGAATCTTTGTAAGTTGTGAGTCACACCAGGTCACTGCCCTGCTCACGACCTTCAGTAGCTCCCTAAACGTTTCGTATACAACCCCGGTCCTGTGTGACCTCTCCTCGTACCTGTCCATCTGGCCTCACCATATTCCTTTTGCCTGCCACGGCCTTCCTGTCGCGTCAGAACCTTTGAACTTGCTTTTCTTTTTACCTCAAATGCCTCTGCTCCAGACTTCCATGCAGCTTCCTACTTCTTGTCATTCAAATCTCTGTTTACATTTTGTCCCCTCATGAGCGCTTTTCAAATAGAACACAGCCATCTCCAGTTGACTACGTTATTTTGTCTTCTTCTAGTATATGCCACTATTTAGAATTGTGTTTGTTAACTCATATACTGTCAGTCAGACTTTCTGCTTGCTCTCCAAGGCCAGAAATGTCACCTCTCTTAACTTTACAACTCTGTGTACTGACTGAACAGTGCCTACCCGGTTCTTGGCACATGTGGCAGAAACTAAGGGGTCTCACTCTGCTCTCAGGATAATTCCTTGTCTAGTTTGATCTCCTACAAAACCACGTTTCCCACTCTTCTTTCAAGTCATATTTTGTATAAGGCAGCCAGAGTGCCCAGCCACCTCCGGTGGGATCCAGAGGTGAGCACTGAGAGGAAGATTAGACTATCGCAGAGTGTGGTGGGCAGGGGCAGTTGTGGTAGTTCCTGGAATCTAGAGCTTAACGTCCTAAGGGCCAAGTGGGGCTAGCAGTCGAGTGTTGGAGACCATTTCGGTGGCACTGTTAGGTGTGTCTTCTGATTGCTGTGCTCTCTGCTGGGTTGCAGCCACGCCCATTTCTCTGGCTTTTCTTGAGATTCTTTATGTTTAGTAAACTGTGCTGCTTAAAATAGCTGCTATGGAGTTTCCGGTTGGCGACTAAGCAATCTGATCAGTATGGCATGTGCAGGACACATTTTTGTGAAATGAAGGAATGAAGGAAAGCATGTATGAGAGTTGGGGGAACTGTCTCGGTGTCATTGGAAAGGAAGAAGGAACACAGCCGACTCAAGCTAAGTGGCAAGGGGCGGTAAGCAGAACGCCAGGCCCCGAAAACCAAGAGGACAAATTAAACATCCAGAACAGGCAAGGAAGGCCAAATACCAGCAACTACCACAAACAGGCAGGGACTGGTGTGCCGTGTTCAGGGAAAGCAGTGAGATTGTTTATGCAATCAGCCATTAGACACCTAACAGTTCTCCAAGTTCCTTAAAGTTCTTTTCACGAAGCAGATATCATCACTATGTTTTCCCTCCTCTAGGAAACACCGATATCTTTTCTACTCAATGGCTGTATTGACGACTTATTTAACTCGAGGAAGAAAAGGCTCATGGAGCTTCTGTTGATATTAAATTGTATGTTAGTAAACTCAATTTTGGCTGCAAGTAAGGAAAAAAAATTAACTGAAAATGGTTTTGGTCATGAGGGACACTTATTGGTGGAATAATTAAAATAGCAAAGGCTCAAGCCACGCCCTGGTAGCTCATGCCTCTAATCCTAGCTACTCAGGAGGCTAAGATCTAAGGATTGCAGTTCAAAGACAGCCCTGGCAGGAAAGTCTGGGAGACTCCTGTCTCCACTGAACCATCAGAAAACTGGAATGGCACTGTGGCTCAAAGTGGTAGAGCAGTACCTTGGGCAAAAAGAGCTCAGGGACAGCACCCAGGCCCAGAGTTCAAGCCCCGTCACCAACCAACAAAATAATAATAATAAATAAGAAAGGTTCTAGGTGAGAAATAACCCGAAAGGAGTTAGGGGTGTGGCTCAGTGGTAGCATGCCTCTCCACCACCAAGGACTTGGTTTTGTCTTCCAGGTGGTAGAAGTTATCCTTCTCATAGCCGCAGGGTGGTTGGGTAATGCTCCATGTATTAAAGTTTATTCATAACTCCAGTGAGATTGTCTTTCCTGATTGTCAAATTAGCATTGAGCTTCTCTAAGGACCACCTTGACCCTTGGTCCACCCTTTAACCACTCTACCCAGGAGAAAGGCTCCAGTCCACTCAGACCAATCAGGAGCTGCTCCTAGTTTTTTGTTTTTTTTTTTTGGTCCGGTCATGGGGCCTGAACTCTGGGCCTGGGTGCTGTCCCTCAGCTCTTCAGCTCAAGGCCAGCACTCTACCACTTGAGCCACAGCGCCACTTCCGGCTTTTTTCTTTTTGCTTATGTAGTGCTGAGGAATC